ACATCAATATAATTCCACTGAAACATGAGTTGACTGTACTGCTCAGGACCTTCCTCTTTCGAATAAGCCCTCACCCAGCCCGAAATTCTCTCATATAAGGACGAAAAGTCGAATCCCGAAAACCCATGTTTAGGCCCATTTTTGCCGATAAAGTCAACGCGCTACTATTACCCGTGTCTACCCCCTTTAGGCAGATGCTATTTTTACTACTGAATCTATATATGGTATTGTATAATGATCAATAGTGGCATGTGGTTCCAGCATTGCATATTCTCTAATTCTTCTGATCACTCTATCAACGTGAATTCTTAAACTCGCAATGCGTTTAGTTAATAATACTTCTTCTTTTGAAGATTTCTGCTGAGTTGAGATAGACGGAGGTCGAACAAGTTCAATTTGTTTCCTTTGTAGGATTGTTTGAATTTGCTTGAATCCTCTATCCGCCATTATTTGGCATTTATCTGGCAACACGTCCATTATTTTGCATTGATCAAACAACTCCACATCACTAACTCTGCCTCCATATCCCGTTGAAATAAATGTTATTAGTTCATCTGCTAATATACAAATCAAATACTTTAAGGTATTGCATTTTTTGTATTCTGACCAGGTCAGAGCTTGATGTATCGCATTCTGTGGTTTTTCAATTTGAATTTCAAAATAATCAATAATACCAGCAACTTCACTAAAATTTAACCTAAATGGTATTGGTAGGTTTTTTTCAAATTATCCTTATCAGGATAATAAATTAATGTCTTTAGGACATGTGCAATTTTGTGGACACTTCTTTTAAATATTTTACTTGCACCACTTGCAGACAATCCAAGAAGATGTGGTAGGCAGATTTATTGGCGAACATTGTCTATCGACCATAATTGGTTTCGCTAAACATCCTGCTGTAGACGTAGAAGGTTTAGCAGTTATTGCCTTGCTCCTAAAATGTTTTTTTATGAGAATCTGCTCAGGTTCCTTATTTTTAATTACTGCAGTGACTGTTTCTGCTGTTCTTTCTTGAGGTGCAGGTAAATATTCCAGTTGTTTGGAAGATGGTCCTGCATCGGTATCAAAATTCGGAGGACAATTCTCATCTGCCAACATCTCTGCAACTGTTCTTTTTCTATTTAACTTTACGAAGCCAGATCGAGGTTCAGAACTTTTGGCAGTACTGCGACCGGGATGGCAATCAAAAATATGTGGCACCACACCCTGCTTCATCGTAATTGAACCCCCCATCAGTCTGTAGCGGGTATAATTTTCCATGTCTTCCTGTAACTATTTTCTTTATTATTATTTATTATTAAGCTCAAGTTTATAATCATAATTATTTTCTTAATACTTACGTTAAAATGATCTTCACAACAGTAGTAGTTTAAGCTTGTTGGTTGATTTGTTCGATGAGCTGCCTTAAACCACAAATTCCACACTTTTTCATTTCTTGGCACTTGAATAAAAAGTTTTTGTGAATTTTTGAGTTGTGTATTTAAACACAATGGTACAAAGCACCAACGGTACGTTTGTTGTTCACTCATAGTTGCAGATTTTTAATCACTTCGTTAGTTTGCTATGTAAACGTATACGCTGTATTCGGGGTTATATGCCATATGACGTCACCGGCGAGTACGTGGTTTTACCGCGTTTTTGGTCGATTTAAAAATCATTACTTTTAATAATTTTTTTCTCAGTCATTTTTGCATTTAAAAATCACAAACAAAAAATTACAATAAAAACCAAATATAAACATTCGAACAAAAATATTTCTGAAAAATGGTATTCTTCCCTATTGTATCTTTTAAACTATTGGTTTCCTAAACTTTTAACTTGCCTTTTAGAATGTTTCAGGTCGAAAACTATAAGATTTGATATATTCTAACCAAAAATTTTTGGTGGCCTAAGCCGAAGTGCAACAAAAAGAATTGAATAATAAATCGTATATTTTAAAACTTTACACAGGATGTTACATAGAAATCCGGATTATACTAATACTTTTGTTCGGCACTGTAGTTCGGTTCCGTGCGTTTCGCTTTCATCGAATCTTTACTGCATAGATGATGTCGATGATATTCTCCAGGAATCATATAATAAATATATAAAATATAATAAATTGTTGTTAGATTCGAATTTGGTATAACGCACATTCGATCACCTTGAGGGGTTATGCCGACGGCCGTTACTATGAAATAGAAAAGAATAACCTCAACAGAGTAACGGTCGCGGTGTCAGGTGTCAGTTACGCACAGAATAAACACGCCAATAAATGTACTGTCCGTTGCTGGTAAGTTGCCGAGCACCGACAAACTGATCCGACGGAGCGGCAGAGGGACTGTGCGTTCGCTCCACCTAATCCTAATCCCCTCCAGGAACCCGTAACTTGAGAAGTCAGCGGTCACATTGCATAGGCGTAAAATTTCCATATTCGCGGAAGATACATTTAACTACATAAACATGTGATTTTTTCAGGATATTAATGGCTTTTTTATAATACTCATTCTTGGCAACAGTTGCTATTATGCAAAATTTTTGGAAATTACATTATGGAAAGTGTAAAAACTCTCCTGTTTTCTTAATAATGTAAACCCCGAATCTAAATACGTTTACGTCAATGCGTCCGAATCGTCGCTCGCTATCGCTTCATCTCATTCCGTTTCAATGTCTGTCCTTAGCGACGATCGTCACGCGATAGATTTGCGGATGTAAGGGCCTCGGCCAATAAACATAATACGTGTGAGTGGAGGCAAATCAACATATGACAGTACAATATAAGAAAACCTGTGTGCAAAAATTGTTTAGATATCGAGCCAATGGCTCGAGTTTGAGGAAAGGAATGTTGTTAGATTTAAGTAAATTTAATGATAGGCTTTGAAGATGGCGCTCTTGAGTTTCCGTTTGTTTAATTTTCTTTACTTTGGTACGTTGGTGACGCGGTTTTAACTGCGTCCTATGGCTTCCCCTACGTTCGATAAGTATAATCGATTAAGGATCTATTCTAAGACTTTTTTTTAAATTTTAATATACAAATATGATACATTTATTTTTATTACTATCCTAAAGACTTACCTACTTATATATATATGTGTATAATATTCCAAATATGTTTATACAATAAAAACATATAAATTAAAGAACATTATAAGAGGTTATGGGCCCAGGGCACAAGGTGAGACATATGGCGGATTTACGCTTTTCTATTACAAAGTTAAATAATGTGAATTATGATATATGGAAAAGCAAAGTGGAATTACTTTTGATAAAAGAACACCTATGGCATACAGTAAATCAGGATAAACCTGAGAATGCAGATGCAAGATGGATAAAGGCCGATGGTCAAGCAAGAGCAATAATTGGACTTCTATTAGAAGATGACCAATTTATACACTTCAAGAGTACCACGACTGCCAAGGAAGCGTGGGAAGCGCTGCAAAAATATCATCAGAAGGCTTCGTTAAGCAATCAGGTACATCTGCTTAAACGAATAATCAATCTAAAATTAACTGAAGACAGTGATATGGAAAAATACATACATGAAATGTTGAGCCTTGTAGATAGACTCGCAGCAATAGGGGAAGTTCTTAAAGAAAAGCTCACTATATCTATCATGTTAAGTAATCTCCCAGATTCTTTTGGTGTCCTTATCACAGCTCTGGCGACTAGGAATGAGGATGAACTAACATTAGAACTTGTCAAGGGAAAATTGGTTGATGAAGCAACAAAGCGCCAAAATTCAAAGAGTGAACCCCAAGAACAAAACAAAGTATTAAAGGTGGTACACAAGGACAAGTTGGGTTCAATTCCGTCCAAGCAACAGTCAATTACTTACACCTGCTATTTTTGTAAAAAGCAAGGACATTTAAAGAAAAACTGTGTTAAGTACCAGAAGTGGAAAGAAAAGAACCCTACGAAATCCATACAGAAAGCCAGTCAAGTTATTAATAGGGGTACAAGTGCGGATGCTTCTACAAGTGAGGCATGTTTCTATGTTGGGAACAGTGACATATCCTGGGATAGGAATGATTGGTGCATCGATTCAGGTGCTACAAGTCACATGTCTAACAACAGAAGTTTTTTCAAGAATCTGGAAAAGTGCAATAAAGAGAGCGTAAGACTAGCAAATGGTTCTTATGCAGAAATTGAAGGCAGAGGAGATGGAGAAATCTTATGTGAGGACTCTGAAGGCAATCCTCTGATTATTCCTATTATAAATGTACTTTTTGTTCCAGTATTGAAAGAAAATTTAATATCTGTTAAAAGATTAACCGAACGAGACTTTGAAGGAACATGTACAATAAAACATAAAGATAAAATTATAGTCAAGGCTGATTTATGTGGAGATTTGTTTAAATTAAGGCAGACAGATAGGGCTCTTACTGTCAAAAATCAGCATTCTCCTAACTGTCAACACGTCTGGCATAGGAAACTAGGCCATAGGGATTTCGAGGCAATTAAGACGATGGTATCCAAAGGAATAGCAAAAGGAATTGTAATAAAGGATTGTGGACTAAGAGAGGTCTGCGACACCTGTATGAAGGGGAAGATGGCTAGAAAACCTTTTGCACAAAAGTCAGAAAGTAAGTCCAGTTCTATATTGCAATTAATTCATACAGACGTCTGTGGCCCTATGCAGACAATGACACCAGGTCAAAATCGTTATATACTGACTCTAATTGACGACTATAGTCGATACACAACTATATATTTACTGAGTCAGAAATCTGAGGTTACAGAGAAAATTAAGAATTTCGTACAGGAAGTAAAAACGAAATTCAGTGTAGTTCCCAAGGTTTTTAGATCGGACAGAGGCACAGAATATATTAATAAGGATTTAAAGGACTTTTTTAGAAAAGAAGGAATAAGGAACCAGTATACAGTTAGCTATACACCAGAACAAAACGGTGTTGCCGAGAGGAAAAATAGATCCTTATTAGAAATGGCCAGATGCCTGTTAATTGATGCCAAATGTAACTCCGATGGAGAGATGGTGCGAAGTGAAGCCAGACCTTAAAGACATGCATATTTTTGGGTCTAAAGTATACGCACATGTCCCTAAAGAATTGCGCAGGAAACTGGACGATAAAGCAAAGGAGTACAGATTTGCGGGTTATGACGAACACTCTAAAGGATACCGCCTCTTAGACACTAATACAAATAAAATCGTGATAAGCCGTGATGTAAAATTCACAGATTCAACGCATGGTCTAGATCAGGATGAGGGAATATCAACTAAGGTAGATGAAAAGAATGATACTGATCATTTAAACATAAGGTTATCTAATGACGCAGCAGTCCGTTTGGAAGCAAATGAAGCAGACGGAGACGTCACTGAAAACGAAGTCGAGGATAACACTGAATATGAAATCGACGATAACTTCTGGTGAAGCGAGTACAGTAACAAAGAGAGGCCGTGGGCGTCCTCGAATAATGAGGACCGGAGCTAGAGGAAGACCGCGTAAGGTATACTCCGAAAATACAGAAAATTTTGCAGGATACGCCACCGAGGTTCCCATGGACATTGCCATATCTGGGAAAGATGCCAATGAATGGCTATTGGCAATGGTTAGCGAAGTCAAATCAATGTTGGAGAAGGATGTTTGGGACTTGGTCGAGCGACCCCAAGGAAAGAATGTGATTGATAGTCGCATGGTATTAACTAACAAATACGGATCAGACGGAACAGTTAGCAAAAGGAAAGCCAGGTTGGTAGCTCGGGGATTCAGCCAGAGATCTGGAATGGACTTCTCGGAGACTTTTGCGCCTGTAGCTCGTCTGAGTTCAATTCGCCTGGCAGCGGCATTGGCTGCTCATTATGGAATGAGCATTCATCAGGTTGATATTGCCACCGCATACTTAAATAGTTCTCTGAACGAAGAAATTTACATGGAGGTTCCAAGGAACACACAGGATGTACTGAAGAAAATTATAGATCTTGAACAGGCTGATAGTCAAGCTGGAGCTACAGTTAAGAAGATGCTAAAGCAACTCCAATCCGGAGATAAAGTCTGCAAATTAAAGAAGGCAATATACGGGTTAAAGCAGGCCGGTCGACAGTGGCATACAAGGTTGGAGGAAGAATTAAGGGCGCTGGGTCTACATTCATCAAATTCTGACCCTTGCGTATATTGTTTTGATAAAGGGGAAGACCTATTATTAGTTATTGTCTATGTCGATGATATTCTGATTTTATCTAGAGACTTAAAGAAAATTCAGCGAATTAAAGATGGTCTCACTAAAGCTTTCTCTTCTGTCAAAGACTTAGGAAATGTTCAATATTGTTTAGGCATTGAATTTTCAATCAACAAAGTAGAAGTAAAGTTAAGTCAGAAAATGTATATAAAGAAATTGCTGGAGAAATTTAATATAACTGACAAGGAGAAGGCAAGCACTTCGGGTCTCAGATTTAGTTGAAACTTCGTACACTTATAGATCTTGTTCCCCTGTTTACGAATATGTACCATTATAGGCGTAGATACTCAATAGTTTTTTAAATATTTATATTTGAAGTTTCATTATACCGAGAAGTATAGATTTAGTGAAATGTTTCGACAAGAAGTGAACTGGTGAAGTGGCAACGTACCTGATACAACATACTCAGAAGGCTCGGGTTCAAATCCCTTCGTGGTATGTAATTTTTTTTTTCGATTTATTTACTGCAATTAATTGGATTTCAAATATATATGCATATGATACTATTCATGACAAACAAGAAATAAAAATTGTGTGCAAAATTAATATAATAAATAATTAAATCAAAGCATACCTCGTTGACTGTGCCTGGAAACAAAACATATAATAACGAAAACATTTCCACATCTAATAAATGTAGTTTTATTGCACGCACATCTGCTCGTTTTGTTGTTAATGTCCTTCCTAAAGTGTGCTTTGATTTAATTATTTATTATATTACTTTTGCACACAATTTTTATTTCTTGTTTGTCATGAATTTTTTTTTTTTTTTTTTTTTTTTATAGGAGGAGGGGAAATGCATTTCCGTACACCCGGGGGGCTACCAAATGATACGATCACACTCAGGTAGTGTGGGACTCCCCCGGAAGCAAGTACTCGCTTCCGGGTATACCCACTAAAACCCCTCCTCCATACCCACAGTTAACCCCCGGAGCCGGAACCGCGTTAGCATTACTTCGGCTCCGGGGCTGTGCTATTTGCGCCTTAGTGGCGCGTCTCGGGTCATGAGGGGGGTGCCCCCAGGCACCCCTCTTCACGCTTGTGGCGCAGTATGTACTCGACATACTGCACCACCGCGTCCCACAGCTTCTGGCTGCGGAGCATCACCCCGATGATGATCTGCGGTGTGATGCTGTCGGCGATGGCGAGCTCCACACCTCTTCGCTTGTCCGCAAAATAATCACAAACGAAGAAGGTGTGGAGCGCATCGTCCTCCGCTTCGCCACAGAGCAAGCAGTGAGGTGACCCTACCTTCCGCATCCTGAACAGGTACTTACGGAAGTAGCCGTGTCCTGTCAGGAATTGCGTCAGGTAAAAGGTCACCTTGCCATGGCGACGCGACGACCACTAGCCCAGGTCCTGGATCAGGAGCCGGGTCCACCGTCCTTTGGGACGCGGCGTCTGCTCGCCCGATTTCAGAACTCTGGAGATATATCTCCTTTCGCTCTTGGGCGAGCAGATCTATCGGGATCGTGCTGGCAACCACTAGCGCCGCGTCCTCGGACACTGTGCGGTACGCACATGCGACGCGCAGTGCCCCGCGACGCTGGACGGCGGCCATCCGAGTCCGGTACTTTTTTACCCTTAGAGTGTCCGCCCAGATTTCTGCCCCGTAAAGCAGGGCTGCCTGGACGGACGTCAACAGGAGTCTTCTCTTGCACGGCTTCGGCCTCCCACGTTCGCCATGAGACGGCTTAGTGCCGCCGTACTCTGCACGGCCTTGTCGCAGACCCTACGAATATGTTCCCAGAAGGTGAGCTAGTTGTCCAGCATCACCCCCAGGTACTTCGCGGAGCTGCAGGTCTGTACAGGCTGAGTCCCGACCATCATCGTGATGGAGGTGGGGATTCTTCTTTTCGTGAGAATCACGATCTCCGTCTTGGCAGCAGCCAACTGGAGACCGTGATCTTCCATCCACCCGTTGACCCTGCGCATAACTTGGTTAAGCGTAAGTTGGACCAACTCGGGACTCCGTGCTGTGTTTGTCATGAATAGTATCATTGCATATATATTTGAAATCCAATTAATTGCAGTAAATAAATCGAAAAAAAAAAAAATTACATACCACGAAGGGATTCGAACCCGCACCTTCTGAGTATGTATCAGGTACGTTGCCACTTCGCCAGTTTGCTTCTTGTCGGAACCTTCCACTAAATCTATATTTCTCCTTATAATGAAACTTCAAATGCAAATATCTAAAAAACTATTGAGTATCTACGCCTACAATGGTATATATTCATAAACAGGGGAACAAGATCTATAAGTGTACGAAGTTTCAACTAAATCTGAGATCCGAAGTGCTTGCCTTCTCCTTGCCTTCTCCCAGTTAAAGTTCCATTAGAGCCAGGTACTGCGTTAATTAAGGAAAATTGTAAGGCCAGTTGTAAGGACAATTAGTATCCTTATCGTGAGTTGATAGGTGGGTTAATGTACCTATCAACTGTATCCAGGCCTGATATAAGCTATGCGGTAAGTTATTTGAGCCAATTTAACAATTGTTATGGAAGGGCTCATTGGGAGGTAGCAAAAAGGGTACTTAGGTACATAAAGGGAACCGATCACTGCTGTTTGACCTATCGGTCGGGTAACAGTTCTTTGAAGGGTTTTACAGATGCCGAGTGGGGTGGTTGCATCAGTGATCGTCGTTCCTTCACCGGTTACGTGTTCCATTTTTGTGGATGTCCTATTTCATGGGAGTCGAGGAAGCAACGCACGGTTGCTCTCTCAATCACGGAGGCGGAATACGTTGCCATTACAGACGCTGCAAAAGAGGCTATATATTTGATGGATACATTTTCGGAACTTGGAGTTAAGCTTGAGCTCGATATTACAGTTTACAACGATAATGCGAGCGCATTAAAATTATCTAAGAATCCCGTATTTCATGCGAGAACTAAACATATAGCGATACGGCATCATTTTATAAAGGAGGTATTACGCGAAGGAAAATTTAAACTTAAGTACCTGCGTACAAATGATATGGTCGCTGATATATTGACTAAAGCCTTAAGCGGACCGAAGCATATTAAATGTGTTAAAAAATTGGGCTTGGTTAGTTAAAGTTATCTTTCAATTTAAGGGGAAGTGTTAGATTTAAGTAAATTTAAAGATAGGCTTTGAAGATGGCGCCCTTGAGTTTCCGTTAGTTTAGTTTTCTTTAGTTTGGTACGTTGGTGACGCGATTTTACTGCGTCCTATGGCTTCCCCTACGTTCGATAAGTATAATCGATTAAGGATCTATTCTAAGACATTTTTTTTAATTATAATATACAAATATGATACATTTATTTTTATTACTATCTTAAAGACTTACCTACTTATATATTGTGACCCGCTTCGGGGGTTCACTGTATACAATTCCACAATCCAACTCTTACTCGCTCTAATCGTTTATAACCGTTGGGCGCCAGCCACGTCTCGTGGCGATCAAAATCGGAAGGGAAAAGGGGTGATCGTGGGTGTTTTACAGGAGAGGGGTCTCGGGGCACTTACGTCCGTACAATACTTCGCGGGGGAGTACGCAAGGAGGATTATTGTGGGAAGGGAAGTCTCTAGGGTCGGAAAAGGGGTTCGCGGGAAAGTTCGCCTAAGTTACGCGAATGAGGAAATAACTGTGGTCGGAAATTCAAAGGGGGGAAGAGCGGAAAAAGGGGGGATTCGTCTTAACTTCGAACAATGCGCGGGCGGAGAAGATAGCCGTTGCCTCGATCTCGCTATTACAATAGTGATACGTTAAGGGACTCACCCAAATTTCCTCACACTCTCTCTCTCTCGTCGCTCTTTATCGCTTTGAATCGCTTTTCAAATCGCTTTAAATTCGCTCTTTCTATACTCTCGCCTAGCCTAGGGCTCAATGACGGTTCGTCGTCGCTGCTGCGACGACGAAACCGTCGCGGGATGGTTTGGGGAGGGGATGGGACTAGGAAGGGGGCCTCTTCCGGCAACGGGATAGATCGATTATCGATCTTCGATACACCGGTGCTCGGGGTCGATGGGGCTGGCGGATATCCCGCGATGACGGGTGGGTTGAGGTCTTCGAGTTCGGCGACAGATGGCTCCGGGTGGACGTTTCGCATGATCTGAGCAGCTTTGTCTATTTCTTCGGAGTCCCACGTTGCTCCGTTTCCATGGAGGACGGGTTAGGGGTCTGTCGCCGGCCTCGTAGCTCCTTCTGTGTTCCTTTTCCGTCTCCTGT